TACTACTACTACTACTACTATTAGTATTATTATTATTATTATTATTATTAGTATTGCTACTAATATTATTGTTGTTGTTGTTGTTACTATTGTTGTTATTTATAATTGTTATTTATAATTTGTACAATTAATCTCTCTGTGGTTCGATACCAGTGTTGCCGAGTTATTTATTACTTTGACACTCCTGCACTTAGAAGAAGACATTAATCTTTTGGTTGTGTCACTTATCATCAATTAATTCAAATTTATTTGTCATGAAAATAAAATTAAAATTTTACTATTATAATCTACCATGCCATTTGGTTTAGAATTACAATAAATAACACACCCCTTTATTTTAATATATTTTATTAGAATATAGAGAAATTATGGAGCACATAATCAATTAAAAAGATAAATAGATTAATTGAAGATCTCAATCAAAATAAATTAAAGGAAATTAATTTTTTCTTCTATTGTATGCTTTATATAAACAATTATATTTAATAATCTATACTAGCTTCTTAAACCAGAAGCACTCTATATGAAAAAATAATGAGATTCAATTCATAACTAATTAAATCTTGAAAGAAAAAATTAAAAAAATCCAATCACATAAAAAGATAAAAAAAATAACAATTAAAAAAATTAAAGATCAAAATTGAAACACAAATAGATGAGAGGACAACTAAGAGTTTTTGATATAGAGATTGAAAAAAATCAAAAGAATGAGGATTAAACAAAAAAATAACATATGAAAAATTGAAATTAAAGGATAAAATTAAATAATAATAAAAAATTCATAAAAGGATCAAGAACAAAAATTAAAAAAAAAATAAAGAAAGAATGTGAAGGTAAAATAAATTGAGGGGCAACTTTTGAAATTTAGAGGATTAGATACTAAAATAGAAGTTCATTCAAGACATATACCGAGAAAGATAGATGGATTACCGGGATGCTTCAAACACCTATATGATGTCATAGTTTGGCCACACACCACCTAAAAAACCGGCTATCCTTTACATGTTTTTTTTATAATATTTATTATATAGATAAAGTACAAATTTGTCTCTCAATTTAATTAAGAATGATAAAAAACCAAGATGATATGATAAAAATATCTCTAAATAAAATGTTATTTTTTTAACTGAAAAGGTATAATACTAATAAAACTGCACAATAAAAATTAAAAATTTAGTACTCATCTTGTATTCTAGTATAAATGTTTTTGGTTAAAAAATAAAATAAAAAACCCTATTATGTAAAATTTATTTTTAAAGAAATTATAATTTTACTATTATAATCTATCATGGTTTGGAATTACAGTAAATAATACATCCTTTTATTTTAATATATTTTTGTTAGAATATAGAGAAATTATGGAGCACAGCACATAATCAATTTAAGAAACAAACAAATTAATTGAAGATCTCAATCTTAAAATTAATTTTTTCTTACAATAATTAATTTGATTTTTTTTTCCTTCTATCGTATTCCCTATATAAACAATTATATTTAATAATTATCAAATGAATATAATCGTACTATATTTTTGTTATCATTATAGATCCCCCTGGAATCTGGAAAAACTAGATTCACATGTTTCTAACAAAGCATTAATAAGACCAAAGCACCCTTGTAATCCCTCATTAATAACTGCCACTACTTTCCCACATCTCTGTTTCTTGTTGAACCTGTAAAAGAAAAACAGAAACAGAGTTGGTGTGGTGTATGCCTGCAGACAGCGACTTGCCCATCTCTTTGGTTATAACTGTTTCCCAAAGTGCACAGCTTGAATACAATACCATCATCCATACTCTCTCCCTCTCTCAAAGCTTCAATTTCTGAAGCAATCAGGAAGAGCAGAAACCCTAGCAACCCATCATCATCATCTACTTCTTCATACAAAAAAATTAATTAATAAATAAATAAATAATGGCTGCTCTTAATCTTCGACAACCACCACCAGAGGATGAATGGGTTCACACTTATCTAAAATTGCTTCCTCAATGGAAAACTCTTGCTCTTTCTCACCAGGTGCCTTACTCTTAATAACAATTACGTCTTTTTTTTTTTCTCCCATTCATTTCTCTTGTTTGTTGGAGTTCCATGCAGAATTCAAGTTTTATTAATCTAGTTTTTGTTGCAAGATGAAGAATATGAATCTTTCTTTCTTTCCCTCTGTTAATTTATTTTGCTTTTTGGGTTCTAAATATTGTGAACTTTCAGTTGTCAAGACGTAAGTTTGCTATAGTTAATTCAAATTTAAAACATTTCTCAATTTCTTACAAGAAGTTCATCCTGGGAATCACGATAAGGGGTATTTCCGTGTCCCAATGTAAATTGTAGAGTGCAAGTGTGAATTTTTCCATCTGGGTTCAGTTCACTGAAGATTTTCGGCTACTTCAGTGCATGAATGATTGCCGTTTATATCATTTTTATTTTACTTCTGATGTTTTAATTTCCTTGGCAGTCAATGATACCGATTTCAATATCTAGAGTTAATCAATTTGATGCTGCGAGATTGGACATTGAAATGTCAGCTATGTTAAAGGAACAATTGGTTAAGGTCTTTTCTCTAATGAAGGTATGGTTTAGTTGCGAAGTTGATTTTAGTGAACATGTTGATATTATGCTGCTGGTGTCAATCTTTAATTTGATTCTTCCCTTTATTGGGATTAGCCAGGGATGTTATTTCAATATGAGCCGGAACTTGATGCTTTCCTTGAGTTTCTCATTTGGAGGTTCTCTATCTGGGTAGATAAGCCTACTCCAGGAAATGCTCTCATGGACCTGAGGTACAGAGATGAACGTGCAATGGAATCAAGAGGAAAAGGTAGGCAGGTCTGCGCATTACTGTAATGCTTATGGTGTTGATTTAAGATAGTAGCTCAGTATTAAGTGATTGTTTGACTGATAGATTGTCCTTAATGGCTATGTTGCTTATGCAGATTTAGAAATGAAATACATGCCTTCTTTACAAATTTTGATTACATATCTTGATAGTATGTTTGGGAATTTAGGAGGGATGGATTGGAAGGGATGGGATTAGGGGAGGGGAGGGGAAAGGAAGGGCAATTAATTATCCCACCCCTTTTTTTTATGGATTCCAAAGTGGGAATATAAATTAATTTTCTCTTGTTTGTTTAATGGATGGTAGGGAAATGCATTAGTTACAATTTTACAGGTCTCCTTTTAGGGTGGAAGGGTGAGATATTTTTTTTATTAAGTAATGAGGTTATAACAGGGAGTTAAGAAAGCAATTCCTTCCCTTTCCATTGTTTGGGTCTGACATTTTAATTAGAATGAGGGGTTAATTCCTGGCCTAGGTTCCTCTTCTCCTCCTATTAAATTGAAGCAGAACAAGTAGAAAACTCATGCCCCAGTTTTTCCCCTACATTTCCTTCCACTTCTTTCTGAAACTAATTTTAATTGATGATTGTTTAAATTTTCTAAATTCTGTGATGCGCTTCTAGTTGATTATTAAATTCAAGATTTGGCTAGCTTCTTGGATATCACTATTTGCACTCAGTCAATATAAATTGAACTTCAATTAAAACAGAAGTTCCCTGGCTTTATATATATTTTGATGGTTCTCCTTTCTTGTTGAGCCGGAATACATATTCAAATGTATCTAACTTTCACTTTGAGTACTGCTGGTTTTGTAAATGCTCTTCTGGAAAATGAAATGGATTGACATGATTGCTATGCCTATTTTTCTCCTGTAGAACTGTTAAATAAATTTTAACATTTTTGTACATGTTCTTTATAAAACGTGATTCCCTTTTCTGAGGATCATGTGGGAATTGAAGAAGTGTGTGATCTGTTTTCCCCTTTGACATGATATTCCATGCATTTACACAAATGGATCTGTTCTTTTATATATATATATATATATTCTCACTGAACTTTCATATCTGACATGCAAAGGAGCGAAAGGCCCCAAGAGACAGTTTTAAATTCTAGCTGAGGAAGGCACATATGAAGTTCCCTGATAATTCTTCATGTCAGCATTACTTCACCCTCTTTAATATTCTAACTTCCACTTGGTGTGTTATTTTGCTTATAGTTAGAACAGGTTTGGAAGGACCTGGACTGACCATTGCACTGAAAATTTGGTATTGCATTGCCACTGTTGGTGGTCAGTACACCTGGGCTCGCATACAGTCATTCTCTGCTTTTCGTAGATGGGGTGATTCTGAACAGGTACAACTATCATTAGTGTTGTTTGTTTTTTTTTTTTTTTAAAAAAAAACTTCTAAAGAACAATTCTCTGAAATGGCAGTGAAGATCGAAAAGTACTTATTCTTTGTGTATTTTTCAGAGGCCACTGGCAAGGCGTGCGTGGATTTTGATACAACGTGTTGAGGGGCTTTATAAAGCTGCTTCATTTGGCAACCTGCTAATATTTCTTTACACAGGACGGTATGTTGTGTATTGTTGTTTCTTGAATATTAATTTCCATTAATTAGTAGTATGAAATGAAGCTGTGCATGTCAATTGTCTTTGTAAAAGAGGAAACACACAACTATTTGGGGAAATGCATATTCAGTTATTACTTGCGTGTTTAATTACAATATCTGCTCTTTTCCTGTCAGCCTAATATGATGATCAAATGGATTGATTACTATCACGAGATATCATGATGGGAGAATCCATTAAGATTATTCACTTAAATCACATAATTGGATTTGATGATTCTTTAAATGTATGTCTTGTTTTAATGCAGATTTAGAAACCTCATTGAAAGAGTCTTGCAAGCAAGGCTCGTCTATGGAAGCCCTAATATGAACCGAGCAGTTAGCTTTGAGTACATGAATCGCCAGTTAGTGTGGAATGAATTTTCGGTAACTGATTTTTCTTTAGCATGTTGAGTCCTTTTTAGATCATTATCTTTCTCCTACCTTCGGATGATCTCTAGTTTCTGTTGTTATGATATTTTAGATGAGTATCTTTCTCCTACTTTGGATGATCTCTTCTTGCTGATGTTATGATATGATATGTTTTGTCTTTTCGTAGTGTTTGAATTCTTTAATTATTAATATCCAATAACACAAAGGGCAAGGAAATAGTGTGGGTTTTTCTAGCATTGTATGAAGTGTCTTTGTCTTGCACTTCTCAAGTGCTTTATTAGTCTGTGATGCAATGTTAGTTTGGTCCATAACTATCCCTCCTTAACTGCTCACATTTGGGTTTCTTTCATTGAAGTTGGATCCCCTGACTTAGGTATAAACTTAAGAATAATGAATGCAAGGAAATTTTGCATGTGAAGTTATCAGTTATAACTTTTTGAACCTGTTAATATTTTTAACTAGGTTTTAGTACATTACTTTTCAACTGGATATTATAGTGACCAAAGTCAAACTCCATGAGTTCACTTAAGGTGACCAGAATGAGGCTTGTTTGTAGATGGATCGAGGAGGAAAGAGTAAAGGTTAAAAGAATAAATGATTAAGATTTATTACAAGCTCTATTTGGAGTTTCCAAAAGGATGGCCCATTACCTAGAAACTTTTGCACCTTTTGTACCATTATTAATTTTTGGATTGTGTTTGGGCAAACATTTTTAAACATGATTATTTTGTATCCCTGACAAAAAAGGATAACTGTTGGTGGGGGGTTATGTCTTATAGTGAACAAACACTAATCTAGCAATTATAGGCTCACAATTTATTGGAAGTCACAGTTTTCAACAAGGCAACTATTGATTGTACTTGTCTTTGCATTGGAATCAATGAGCGATCATGATCAATTGGTTGAACACATCCCTTATTGTATGTTCATGAAAACAATGTAGACAATATATTGGGTAAGCTATATTCTAACCCTTGTAGATTCTGCAATGCTCTACTTCAACCGAGTTTAAAATTTTCCAACGTCAACCTTAGAGTTTCAAAAGAGTTTCCATATGCCCCTTTAGCATTAAATAACTAATGGAAACTAATGGCAGGACTTCCTTTTGAATTCTTTGTTGAGTATTTTTGGACTTTCAAGGGTTTTGTGGAATACTATCACATTTATGATATTATGGGAGTAAAAATTAAGAGAAAAATGAGAAAAAAATGACAGCAAAAAACTAGAAAAGGTAAGCATTCCATGAGATGCTGGTAGCTATCCAACAGCCAAGGGCCAAATTAGAACTCTTTTGGAACTGTAGAGTTATCAGTGAAATTTGATCTATAAGGCTGGAGTGGATGGCTAACTCTACAGGGGTAAAAACAGTTTACCCCAGTATGATCAATAAATCTGCTTTCTGTGTGAGTGACCAACTTCAAGATGTATCCTTTATTTGTGTTTTACTCAATTTAGTTTTCTTAGTTTCTTTGAATTGACATGTTATGCTGTCTCAATTCGCCTTCGTAGTTGTGTTAATAGAGCATACTATCTTAGTTATGTGAATTAACAGTTAGTTAGAATGCTGTTTCATTCCCAAAAAGATTGTATTTCGGAAGCAGAACCTTATTAAACAGATAAACATTGTTACTAGACATGATTGGAGTTGTCTCTTTTGGCTGCTGTTTGAATTGCCAAAGTTTATGTACCAGCCATAATACCATCTGCGCTGATAAATGTGGTCCTTCTTTGGCTTATCTGCAGGAGATGTTGCTGCTACTTCTACCTCTTCTTAACTCCTCGTCTGTTAAAAAATTTCTTAGCCCATTTTCGAAGGATAAATCTTCAAGCTCCAAAGTAGATGATGATACTTGTCCAATTTGCCAGGCAATTCCAACAATTCCATTTCTTTCTCTTCCCTGTCAGCACAGGTATACAACTGCTTTCTCCTTTGCTTTGATTAAATCAACTTTTAAGAACTACGTTTGTGGTACGGGCTACGGCTTAAACAATGTAGATCATTTTTCACCAAAGTTTTATACACACTGCATGAGAAAAGCCTAGGGCATAATTATGATTTCCCGATCCCTGCAAGCCTACTGGTCACAAATACTGCAAATTTCCAAAATCCTTAGCGTTGCCCTTCTCTGGGCATGCTTGGCTCAAATTTTGTTGTACCACACAGGCCAAGTCTACTTTCTGCTTTCTGATTTATTTCTCTCCTTAACACATACCACCACAATCAGATGTTTGGATAAGATATTTTTGGCCGACTTAATCAGTTTTGAAGTACCTTTTCCAGCGGGGCTGAATTTCCAGAATGTGTTTCTCCACCCCCTTCCCTAAAATCTGATTTTTTCCCCTGCTGGTAGGTACTGCTACTACTGCCTTAGAACACGATGTGCTGCAGCTCCATCATTCCGCTGTCCCAGATGTGGAGAGCCAGTGGTTGCTATGCAGCGCCATGGCAGTTTAGCCAGTAATACAAATCCGAACCAATGAGTACTGTAGGGTGGTAGGATGGAGTGGTAGAGTACTGTATAAAATATGCCAAGAAATAGGCATACAATATAATCAAGTGATTACGTTTTTTCTGTAGAAGTATTTATCCCCCTAATCAAGTTGGGGAATCATTCTTTGCCATCTTTATGTGACCTTGAATATTCTTTTCAACGATACCACCAATTCTTCAAAAACAAGGATTAAAATTTCCTTCTTGATTAACGGTTTTAAATGAAGTTCTCTTTTCTGGGCCTCTGGGGGCCGTGGAGTCCTGTAAGCAATTGTAATGCTTCCTATGTTGATATAAAAACGAAAGAGTCTATATCAATGGGTGTAACACCCTGTGAAGTCAGCCATTTGAGGGCTCATTATATATATTCCAGTCATGGTTTATGAATGGAAGGGTGTGCGCGATGTGATGTTACTTGTACCTTGTCGAAGGCAAAGAGAAGTTTTGGGAGACGGAATTCTGGAAGCTAGTAGGTCACATTGTATTTTAAAAATATTTTTATAAAAATTTAATTTTTTTAAATTAATATATTTTTAATATCTTTAAATTATTTTAATGTATTGATTTTAAAAATAATTTTTAAAAATTAAAAAAATATTATTGATATATTTTTTAAGTGAAAAATAATTATAACTATATTTTTAAATACATATTAAATAATTAGTCAATTCTGATACTTTTTTGGTTGAATTTAAATGATACTTTTTTGGTTGAATTTAAACTTAGTATAACCATTTATTCAATCGTATTATTTTTATAGTTTTAAATTAATTTATTTTAATATTTTAAAATTATTTTAATATGCTCATATTTAAAATAATTATTTTTTAAAATATAATATTTTAATGTATTTTCAAAAATAAAATATTTTAAAAAATAACTTTTATTATAATTCCAAATATGTCATTAATGTTTATTTGTATTGTTTGGTATCATGTTGTCATTTCATATTGCTATTTATATAAAAAATATAGAAAAAAATATTTTTTAATATATATTAGAATGATGTCATACTTTGTCACCGGCAGGTCAAACTTGCCCTCACATAAAAAAAGAGAATGTTTGATAATAATAATAATTTAAATTAACTTTAATAACTTGCCACATGGAATATGAAATTAAGATATCCTACACAAAAAAAAACATAACAAATCATGAAACTCAAGTTCTAATAACTTAATATTAATGATAAAATTAATTTTTTTTTAAAAAGACAACATTGAAGAAAAAAAAGTTACGTCAGCCCGAGTTAATTTGACTAACTCACCACATATAATATGAGATTGAGATTAAAAAAATAAATTAAAAAAAACCTAGAAAAAAAAACTAAAATTAAATCAATAAAAAAAAACTAAAAAAACCTAAGTCAACTTCTTTTTATGGGATTTCCCATTACAGGTTAATGAAGTCAACATAGGTTAACTTCATTAACCTACACTAGGATAATCCCATAGAAAGAAAAGCAAAAAAAATATAAAGTTAAAAGGTCAATAATTTAATATAAAATGATGAAAGTGAAAAAAAACCATTTTCATTAAAAAAAATTAAGAAAGAAAAAACTCAAGTTAACTCGGGTTAACTTAACTAATCAGTTATTTGGGATACGAGATCAAAATAACTCCACATAGAAGAAAGTGAACAAACCATGTAGCTTAAGGTCCAATAATCTAATGCTGAATAATAAAATTAAAAAAAA